TTTTAAAGAAAATTTTGTTATAGGTGATTGTGATTTAATCCAGGCGCACTTTACCACTAAGCCACACCCTGAGACCTTTTCTGGTTTTTGTTTTAAGACAGGGTCTCACTAAGTTGTTGAAGTGCTTTCTTTTTGAAGCACTATTTCTCTGCTCTCCTACCAGCATTTTCTTTACAGCTACACACATTCACACACACATTTTTTCTGTATCCTTAGTGAAAATGCTGTTCTGAAGGGGCCATACCTCATTCGCTGTGTGATGTAGGCCCGAGATTCTGATTGTGTTGCCACCTTTGTTCAATCTAGCCAGCCTCAGATGATCTCTGAAATTGTCCTGGATTCTCTGTTTGAGAGACTTCTTGTGAAGCTTGTATCATATCTCTTAAAGATAACAATTCTTGATTGACAAAAAAAAAATGGTACTGTGGTACATTGTACTGATACATTTAAAATATTAGGAGATGAATATGGACTTCTAAGCAAATGGTTACAATAAGATACCTATAAAACATAACATAAGAATCAACAAGTGGGACAGCATCAAATTTAAAAGCTCCTGCACACACAAGTAAATAATTAAAAGCATGAAGACAGAATCTATGGAATGGGAGAAAATCTTTTGAAGGTTAATCCTCTGATGGTGAATTAATATTCAGAATATAAAAAAGAACTCAAAAAACTTAAAACCAAAATAAATAAATAGACAAATAACCCACAAGATCAATAAGTAGGCAAAGGAATTAAACACATTTTGTGAAAAAAATAAACACAAATGACTAACATGAAAAAAATGTTCAATTTTCCTAGCAATCAGGGAAATACAAATCAAAACTGCACTGAGATTTCTTCTCACTCCAGTCAGAATCAACAATACAGGCAGTCATCAACAATACAAATAACATGGGGAGAAAAGTAAACTCATATATTATTGGTGGGACTGCAAAATAATACAACTACTCTAGAAACAGTATGGAAATTCCTTAAAAAACTAAGAATGGAACTGCCATGTGATCCAACTATCCTACTCTTCAGTATTTACCCCAAAGAACTAGAATCCATATACTATAGTGATACATCCATATCAATGTTTGTAACAGCACATTCCCATTAGCCAAGTTATGAAACCAGCCCACGTGCCCTTCAACAGATGAATGGATTAAGAATACACACACACACACACACACACACACACACACACACACAATGGAGTTTTACTCAGCCATAAAGAAGAATGAAATTATGGCATTTGGGCTAGTAAATGGATAAAACTGGACAACATTATGCTGAGTGAAATAAGCCAGACTCAGAAAGTCACAAGTTTTGTCTTTTATTTAGAAACCAGAGCAAACTAAGGAGAAAAAATAGGGAGTGTGTGGATAAGGGTAAATGAAAGACCAGTGGAGTTGAAGAAGATGAATGAGGGGGAGGGAGGAAAGACAGGAAAGGGGAGGAAATGTGGAATGAATTTGACAAAATTACACTATGTGCATGTACAAATATACCACAATGAATTCCACCTTTATGTATATCTATAAATCACCAATTAAAAATAAATAACTAGATGGAAGGAAGACCAGCAGAGTAGAGGAAGGAGAACAGAGGGAGGTAAGGGAAATACTGGGGACTGAAATAGAGCAGATTAAATTTCATTCATGTATGATTAAGTAAAAATGAACCAAACTATTATGCATAACTATAATACACTAATAGAAGCATAAAGAAGAAAGTATAACTGCTTTGCTTATTGGTTTATGATTTGATGGAAGGGTAATAAAGACTAACAAGAATGATGTAGCTTAAAGGACACTCTAGTTAGAAGTTTAGAGTCTTCAGTTCCACTCCAAGACTACATGGCAAATTGTTGAACAGAAGCCAACCATGAATTTTCATTTTTGCAACAGTTAATTATTTTTTTGCTCTAAGGTTTAATGATTCTGTTTATTCTTACTGCTTTGATTAGCCCAGGAATCTCACACCATAACAAAGTGCCCCTGTATTACTTAAAAGCGGCACTTACATAATTCACCTGTTCATCAGAATCATGAACACCACTTGATGGTAGTGTACATTCTGTTGAAAGGACTGGGGAAAATTGGAGGACATGGAGAAGAAAGAAAGAGAGGAATGGGGTCACTGACATTTTTGTGAACCCATACCAGATCTAGTTATCCTGTCTCCTTTGCAGGCACTGAAAGTCTTTGTGTGCATCTCTAGCTCATGTATTGCATTTTCAATATTACTACTCCAGAGTACCTTTCAGAAGATAAATACAATAGGGTACGAAACACAATGAAATCAAATATTTCTAATCATTATGCTCAATTGAAATCACCTTCATACAGACTTCAGAGAGTAAATTTCCAGGATCATTAATTTCAGGAAGGCATCACACAATTTGTAGAAAAGGAATGGGCAAAAGTAAATCCCTCTCAAAGGATGGGAAAGGCCCACGTAATCACAAACTGTGTAGTAACAATTAACATATGCCTTTGAAAAATCTGGTTTTCATTACCTTTACCTTTACTTCTTCATAATGCTCTAATATGATTTTTTATATGAATAGACTATATACTATATTGTTTTACTCATGGATCACTATGCCTATCCTCTTTACTGATATTTCAGCAAAAATAAAATAAATAATAAAAATCGGTTTCCTAGCAACATCTGTATTCAAAGGAACAACAAAAGCTTAATCACCAACACTTTATTTTCCCCCAAAGTTAATTCCTGTCTATCCAGGAAAGTTAGTGGGTGGCAAAGAAAATATGGCACAAAGAATCTCTCAGAGAAGCAGCCTCACTTGGCCTTTCTTTCCTGGGAATGAAAAGATAGGATGGTAATGGTTTGCAGCTAGACCAGTCTTCCCCAGTGGGAGCAGGCAGAGGTGTTTGATGCCAAATTGTGTGCTGTTTTGTCTGACCACCTCTTTTGAAGATGCAAACCTAATGGAAGGAACATTTAAGGGGGAAGCGAGGTTTCTGGGTTCCTAGCAACCCTCACACTAAGTATTGGTGAATTCGGTGAATACATGGGCGGATCCTCATCTCTGCGCTGTGTGTCTAAGCTCTAAATCCCTATCAATCAGCGGAGCTAATTTTTTGAAGGTTTATTGGCATTTACTCAATCAGCATCACAATTTCACTAGTATTACTGTTGCGCCCCAGGAAAGCATTATTTGAAAATTAAGCAGCTGGCTCTCCTCCAGAGAAACATGTCCCTGTGCCTCGCGTTCCTGAGACTTCCTGCCCAACTGCGACGTGAGATGGAAGTAACCTGACCGCTGTAGTAGAAGTCTAACAAGGAAAACAGCTTGGGTTTAGAGGAAGTGGCTTTCATTTTACTGCCTGCGAAAAACCTTGGTTTTCAAGTTTAAAGCGGGTACACGAGTCATTTTAAGTCTCTAGATCCTTCACCCTGAAAGCCCCTGCACAGAAACTCCATGGGGAATCTAAATATAGGAACAGCGAACTCCCCCCGCCTTCAGCCTGGGTCCCCGCGCAGCTCTAGGATTGGAAAGCTCGTTCCAGAACGCGATCTGCATCTGCCCAGAATGGCAGGGCACGGAGCAATCTCTCTCGCACCTCCACAGTGCGTGGGTGTGAAGTGTATTAGGGGAAAGCAAGAGTGGCTCTGAGTGTTGGTGCCTGGCTCACAGTCACGTGGCACCGCTGCCAGCTGCACGGAGCTGGGAGCTAGTGCCTGCTGCTCAGAAGCTTAGGGGGAAAAGCGAGGTCCTGAGGTGACCAGGAGCGATAAGAATAAAAAATAAAAGCAAATCGTTTAAATGAAGCGATTACCAAAAGCAGAAAATAGTTGCCGCAGGCGTGGGTGTCTGTACCAGAGGGAGTTGGTAGAGTATTTATCTCGAGGAAGGGCGGGGATAGCTGAAGTAAGACTTTTGCCTTATTATTGGTTTAGATTTAAGGAAGGAAGTCACACGGAACAACCCACCTTGCAACTATCTGCCATGGCGTTGTGGTGGAAGCTTAGTTGGGCTTAACTTGGTGATTGTTTTCTTTCATATTTGAAAGGAAAGCTACTCTCTTGGAAGAAGTCCCCAAGCCTGGCATCCTTACGCTGAAGGCGATGTTTTATTACCGACACTGTTTTTGAAAGCCAGAGAAACTGTGGCGTCCCACTCCACCAAAAGCGTGGGTGTTGGGCCGCCCAGGTGCCAGAGGTGGTGGGAGACCCAACCGGTGGCTTCTCACTACACGTCTCTAACCATGTAAAATACAGCATATGGGGGTAAGGTGGCGCGCCCTGGGCTCCCACTCTCTGAAACTCCTCTCCCAGACACTGGGGCCACTGTCGCCACTGCCGAGACTTAGCAGTTTTATGACTTTCTCGGATTAAAATGGAAATTTCTTGACGGAGGGAACTGAGTTCATTCTCCCAGCCTTGGCTGTCAGGCGGAGCCCCGGGCAACTCGCTCACCGCCTAGAAGAAGCCACTTTGGAGTTTCACGCCCCCCCCCCCACTTCCACCCCACCCCCGAGATGGGAAGGATGTTCAGTTACTCGGGGGCATGCTGTCGGATGCTACGATGGAAAGTCACAGCCTGCAGGCTGGAGTGAGCCGAGGGAAGTCGGGTCCCCGACTGGCGGACTAGGCAACAGCTTCTTTCGGTTGTGCCCACTGAAATACCGAAGACTTGCTCCCTGCGCGGGAACCCAGGCGCCACTGCCCGGAGCGCTGCCTCGCTCTCTTCCAACGGGCTAGCTAGTACCTGGAGGGCAGGACAGGGCTGTTCCTGTTCACACCCCCTGAAGAAGGATGTCAGGACTTGGCACGGCGGCGGCTTAGCGGCGGGTGAGCGCAGCGACCTGCGTCTCCAGTTTCTCCACAGGGCACACGGCAGACTTAACCTTCCGGACAGCTCCAGATCCCTGGGGAGAACCAAATCAAACTCCTGCCCCGGAGATTGGCTCAGGAGGCCGGTTCTCCGTGGGGGGAGGGGGAAGACAGTCTGGGCGTGGGGAGTGGAAGGAGAGAAGAAAGGGGGAGCCTGCGGCCGGGTGTGCGCGCGTGGGAGCGCGCCTAGGAGCGCCCCTCACACCCCCGCTCCAGGCCTGGGGCCGCTTCGGGAAGGAGGTAGTGGTAGCCGCGGGAATGAGAGGGAGCAAGATAAACCCTCTCAAAGTGACGCCCCAAACACTTCGGATTTCGAATTCGAAGCTAAAGGCTGCTAGAAATTGAGACTCTTCGGCCTCCTCCGAACACCCCCCTCGGCCCCCGCCCCAAAGACCCGGTGGTTTGCTGGCTGCCTGCTTCCCGCCCCCGGCTCGGAGGTCTCTGGCACGCGGGCGCCCCGTCGGCCGCCGGCTTCCTCCTTCAAACCCGCCGGCGCACATGAGGCCACTGCCCCCGCCGCAGGCGCTGGCACCCCCCTCCCGGTGCCCGTGGTGATGCCATGCCCCGCCACCACGCGGGAGGAGAGGAGGGCGGCGCCGCCGGGCTCTGGGTGAAGAGCAGCGCGGCGGCGGCGGCGGGCGGGGGGCGCCTGGGCAGCGGCATGAAGGATGTGGAGTCCGGCCGGGGCAGAGTGCTGCTGAACTCCGCGGCCGCCAGGGGCGACGGCCTGCTGCTGCTGGGCACCCGCGCGGCCGCGCTCGGCGGCGGCGGCCTGAGGGAGAGCCGCCGGGGCAAGCAGGGGGCCCGGATGAGCCTGCTGGGGAAGCCGCTCTCCTACACTAGTAGCCAGAGCTGCCGGCGAAACGTCAAGTACCGGCGAGTGCAGAACTATCTCTACAACGTGCTGGAAAGACCCCGGGGCTGGGCGTTCATCTACCACGCATTCGTGTAAGTACCCGCGCCCCCCGCGCGCTCCCGCCACGCCTGCTCCGAGAAGCCCCTGCGCCTGGCCCCCTGCGGCGGGTTTGGCGCCCGCGCCCTGACCTGACGCGCGCGCACGCGTGTACACACACACACACACACACACACACACACACACACACACACACACACGCGCGCGCGCGCACACGTGGTGGTTTTTATTTCTTTGCACGTGTTTGTGGTCTTCCTCCTGGAGCCTTCCACCTCCCGCAGCTCCACCTCTCCCACCTCCCAGTTTGAACCTTCTCCCCGAGGGCACCCAATGAAGTGCCCTGCAGCTTCAGGCAGGCATGGGGCGGGATCCTAGCGGGTGCGTGACTTCAGCTTAAGCAGTAATTGGGAGTAATTAGGTCCTGAGATACATAAACTTCAACTGAGCCAGGAGCCCAGGAGTTGGGATATGCACCGGGGGAACACGAGTCCGTGTGAGGCTTGAGTCTATGGGAGAGGTTAGGAGGTGATGGCAGGGTTGGACCCCGTTGAGAGAGGAGGCAGCCAGGGCTGGGTCCTAAGTCCTAGGGGCGGAGCAGGGGAAGCTGCTACTTGGAGAAAGCTGCTAGGTTTTAAGTGCGCCCGGAAACACGCCTTACCACCACTACAGCTACCACCAACGGAAAATCTGTCAGTGTGTGTAGCCCTTCTTGCCTCAGAGAAGGTGGTCAGGGCCTAGAAGAGGCTAGCGGCTAGCGGGCCAGGCGAAGCAGCGCTCCCGCGCTGTGGCCAGGGCTGGTGGCGCGGGCGATGGGAGACCAGCGGCGAGGTAGTGGGGCCAAGGTGCTATTAGCTGAAGCGCAAATGAGCTGTCTTTGACCGGGATCAGGCTGTGGGTTAGGTCGGCGTGTAAGGCGCCAAGTCAAAGCCTGGGTTTTAAGTTAGCGTTTGCCATCTAACAGAGAATGCTTAATGAGAAAATGATTGGAAGCAAATGTTTATTTTTCCCTTAGGCATTTAAAACCTTTCAGTGGCTTTAAAAGTTTACTACTGTTTTTCCCACAACGTCCATTCATTCAATCTCCTGTTAAGAGTTAGATTTATCTGGACATTTTATGGTTGTTTTAATGCTTTCACACTCTGTCTAATGCATTCCTTTTTTTCCCCTTCTTTTCTTCTTTTTTAGTGTCCCGCCCCGATCCTTTATGTTAAAATGATATATAAACATGTCAGCCTTAGGAGACCCATAGGGAAAGTCGCAGGCACTCACTGATTTGTTCATTGTTTCCTAATAAAATATGTTTGGAATACACGAACTATGTTTCTTTTAGAATGAGGTGTGTTATCCATATATATATATATATATATATATATATATATATATATATATATATATCCCTCATCTGGGATGAAGCATTGGCACCAATATTGGAATTTTTTTTAATAACGTGGAAGAAGGGAATGGTTTTGTATATAGGTGAACCTGAAATTTGACCACGTAGAAATCAGGAAATTGGTTGAGTCTACAATCTGTGGGGCCCTGGTGTCTGGAAAATTTTACAGTCCCAGACTGATATGAATGTGTAGGATTAGGTAGAATATTCCAGCCAACTTTCCATTTTACAAAATACACAAGGAGAATGTTGTGTTGCATCATTATTATATTAAAAGATATAACATTATTCACTATCTCGCATTGATTCAGATGTGGATACTGTAATTAATGATAGACGTAAAGAAACACTCCTGACACTACATGTTCATCACCTCTGGTTTGATATATAATTAATCCTGTTATTTAATTAGCCTAGTAAATTATTTTGACGTGTCAAGATACACTAAAAATGTTTAGCAGTGATGATGCTTGATTTGGCAGCAAATATACACTGTATGGAAATGATTTTTTTTTAACAATAGGCTCAAAATATTCATTGCTTTGAATTCTCAATATGATACATAGCATGTATAGCCTTTCAGTTTTGGTAAATTATACACTATATAATTCAGAGAGGGTTAGAGACAACTTTGATTGGACTACCTACTTTGTATCTCCTAAGCATTGTTCTACAACATGTATGAGAATTTCTCACAGTGCAACATTTTCTGTTTAATATCCTGGTGCTTAACAAGTTTTTGTGGGCTTACAGAAATTTTACACATTTTGATGAATTATTTTTTAAAAGATTAAAATTTGGACACTTCTCTACTCATCAGGCTTTATCAGTCTAGCTGTGTCTTTAGTGGTAGGTAGGGAATAAATTGTTAATATGGTGTTGCTGATGTAAACTTTAGTGTTATACACCTCTAGAGACTGAAGCTGTAATTTCTGAGCAGTTAGATAGGGGTGCTAGATACACATCAACATACAAATAGAATGGATAGTGTCATATTCTGGGAGATTGTATGCAACTACAGCAGACCCTGAAGAAAAGAGGCCATCATTGGCAATTGCTGCTTATGAGTTTGAAATAACTGGACTTTATACATATTAAATTAATAAAGCAAAGTTGCTTTGATCTGTAAGCCTAATAAGATCATTAATTATATAGGAAATTATAAGAAAATACTTTCTAGAGAGGTGTAACTAACTAATTCTTGCCAGCCTGGGAATCCCCAAATCTTACTTTAATAACAGTGTTTGTAGCATATTAAGGTTCCTGCCAAGAACAAGTGCATTGTGATTAATGAGGTACTTCAGGGATGACTTTACTTGGTAGATCAGTGTTTTCATTGCCAAGAAACAAGGGTATGTTTAAAGTTATGCTTCAGGTAAAGACAATTTCTGTTAAATATACAAAAATCATCATTATTATTCTATTTTAATAATATAGAGTGTGGTTTCAAGAATACATTCCTAGCCTACTGACGGCATGACCATAAAAGATTACTTAATTTAAATATGTTTTTTTCAATCTATAAAGTAGTGGAGTGTAGGAGATCTGTACCCTTACTGCTGTTTAGTGGTCAGCCATGTTTTCTATCTGTTCCTCATAGTTGAGCTATTGAACTATGAGGTTCTTTCTTTGAATGTTGTTTGTCCCTTTTTAATTTCCCCCTTTAAAGGAAAGTTTTAGAATTATAACTGTGGAGGCAGAGAAATACATGATGGGGTTCCATATATAAATTTACATTGATACAGCAAAGGTGGTTCTGAGAAATTACAAAGCAAACAATGTTGTACAGATATATAACTCATAACTTTGTCAAATATATCTTTGGCTGGTTTTATAACATGATAGTAATTGTGAGTAGACTAGAAGAAATAGTTCAGCTACTCAAGCTAGGCACCTGAAGTCATCATTTTTTTCTCATATTTCTCATATCATTTTTCTCATATTTGCTCTTGCTAGCCATCCAAACAGACATTAAATTCTGTTTCTTCACTAATATTTTTGAACATATTTGCCTCCTTCTCTTGCTATTTCTACTATTTCTTCCTGTTTCTCTAAGCCTTTTTGTAATATTAATAATTTATAATATTCTCCTAATCATTTGGCATATGTTCATAGCTTGCTTTCCCTCTGATACCACAGTCTTAATTTTAAAATGCAAATCATATCATATCATTGCCCTTCCTAAAATATTTCTGTGACCCATGTTATTTACTTATTCATTAATCTATTTATCCATCTATAAATTTTTGAATGTCTAGTGGTGCTAATTCACAAATTAATGAGACAGAGGCCTCCTCTCTCAAGGGAAAAATTTCACCATGGGGCAATTACAAACATAAAAACAAGTTTGAAACAGTATTACTGGTGGTGTTACAGAGGAGACAGGTTAGAAAGATTTGTGGGTAAAATAGAAGTGTAGGAGAGAAAGAAGAAAGCTCAGCATAGTCATTGAAGGGGAAATGAGGTATGAGCCAAGTTTGTCCAAATGAGTTGTTAATTTTCAAGTGGATAAAGCAAGGAGGAAATGAGCAATCTTGATGGAGAAGAGATATGGAATTGTGAACCAGCATATTTACTGTTTTAAGTATGTGCAAGCTGAGGACAGCAGCAAGAAAAGAGGGTTTAGGGAAAGGCATGTATGTGATCTTTGATAGTCTCAGATGCTGTCCATAGAGTCTGGTTTTTATCCTATAGTCAGTACTGGTCAATGAATGGTAAAGAAAAGTTTACCATGGCAACAATCTAATTGAATATGAATTTTGGAAATACCTCCATTTTACCAGTTTGGAAACTGAATTGGAGGATTCAAAATGGAGTTGGTATGGACTATAATTAGGTGGTAGCAGTTCTGAAATTTCCATTCATTCTTGCATTCTTTTATTCATAAATTTGTTCTTCAAATGTGTCTTGACTCTCTAGTATGTGCAATGGACAGTTCTAGAAAAATGAGAGATGATTGCCTAAGAACTAAGGCAGTTAACTGTGAAAAAAAGGGTTTAATAAGAAAAATGTTAAAGATACAGAATTGGCAGATTGTTTTCACCAGTTTGATATGTGGTATGAGCAGGATGACTCTGACCTGGATTATTTAGGGAATGGAAGCGTGCCCTTCACTAACATGGAAGGCACATATTCATGAAAATAAGAGTTCACATTTGGGCATGACTTGAAGATATTTTTGTGTTATTCAGGTGGAGAGTATTAGTTGCAGGAATATAGCAATGAACTAATCTCTTTCCAATGGGTCTTGGATCAGCAACCAAAACTATTCCTGCATAAAGGGTATGCAATAAAGATAATTTTGAATGAATGAATGCATCTAAAATTGGAGGTTAATCTAAATGCCTAATCACACATTTAGATTTAAAAGCCTGTAGCAGTTTCATGGTAATTAAAGCAAGGAGCAGAAAATATGAAATAGTCCAGGAAATGGACTGGTGGAGGACAGTCTTGGGAACATTAACATCAAATAGTGAATGGAACAGTGAGACTCCAAAGAAAAACCTGGAAAACCCATGATAAAGCAACCCAAAGGCCAAGAAAAAAAGCCAGGAGATCTTATCTTTCTAAAAATAATGGAAATTTTGGTTAACTTTTCATTGTAGTGGCCAAAATACCTTTCATAAACAACTTAAAGGAGAA